ATGTTGGGGAGGAGCTGGTGGCTGTTCATCCGATCGTGCGGACGAATCCGGTGACGGGGTGGAAGAGTATCTTTGCGTTGGGACCGTTCCCGAAGTATATCAATGAGCTGAACCAGAATGAGTCGGAGGAGTTGTTGAAGAAGTTCAAGTCGATTATTGTTGAGAGTCACGATCTGCAGGTCAGGTTCAAGTGGAGGAATGAGCATGATATTGGTATGTTCTATACACTTGCTATGTTGTTTATTTTGTGTTCTAACGCTCGATAGCTATCTGGGATAACCGGAGTGCTTTCCACACGGCTACTTTTGATTATGAAGGCCTTGGGGAGAGATTCGGACACCGGGCGGTCGGTATTGGTGAGAGGCCTTACCTTGACCCGAACAGCAAGTCCAGGGCCGAAGCGCTGGCGGCTGAGGGTCTTATCTATTAGTCCCATGATGTTAGTATGCATTTGGAACTGAAGACAGCTTGATGTCGACAGAGGCAATGCTCTATCCGGCGGTTAGGAGGATATGCTAGTACCTATTATGTCTTATATGGTATATAGAGATGACACTGCGATGAATTTTGCTGCTAAGATGCATAAGGCGCCTTACATCAATTATTTTGTCCGTATGTTTCGTTCTTGGGGATCATTGATTCCTGGTAACATTCGTAATCCCAGCACGATGTATAACTGGTTTGCGCTGAGAGGGATACCACATGTGACAACACACTTCAGAATATATATTTGGAGGGTAAATTCTGAGTTGAGAATTTTTCGAACCTGATTTTCTCTTTGCTCGTATATATTTTTCCCTCTTTCGTTTCATTACATTATCTCTTTTTTGACTTCTATATACATTATCTTTCTATTCCTATTCTGCATTGTGTGCTTCGATAACGCATGGTTTTCTTTGGGCTCGGACGGCGGATCGAGAAGAACAAAAAAAGGGGAAAAAAGATAATGAGCCCAGCCCGGCTCGATCGGACAACCTTACGATCTGGAGTCGCTGTTGGAATTCTGTTAGAGGATGTTTTTGCAATCCAATTGGATGCAGGTGAACTTACTACGCGCTACCAATTGCGCCATAGGCCCATTTGTTGGTGACGGTAGGTCATTAAAGTGCTTAATGTAAAGCAATTACGCAAGACAAAATGGACTGATGTGATCGTCGCGTGGGCGTTTCTCAACCATCAACGAGGAAAGAAATTGGGCAAAATCCGAACTTGGGCAAAAAAAAAAAACAGATGAATATAATCCAATAAGTTTCTAACCATTGAATACTTTTCTTGGAAGATATTTTGATCAGTTCTGTCCACCACTGCGTCCAATCTCCCTTAACCCAACCTGATACTCAACCTTCTGCTCCAATTCACTCTCCGTCGACGACTCATACTTTTTATTTATATCCTCCAACTCTAACTTCCTTGTTTCCGGAATGAAGAAGTACCCAAAGATGACCGAAACAGCAGACAGTGACCCATAAATGAATCCCAGCTTACCACCAATATCCACATGGCCGGGATCGTCTGCGGTTTCGAGGTAGGGGTAGGAGAAAGTCACGGCGAACCTGACAATCACAGTCTGTCAGCTTTTCTGATCTTGAACGAATATTGTGCAATGGTATATTGGAAATTGGATGGGAACGTACTCAGTAACCAGCTTCACAGTATATGCGATCCGCAAAGTCATTTCTCTCAACCCAGCCGAAGGCAACTCCGCACCGAGTACATACACCAATGGCGCCCAGGCAAGAGACCAACCAAAGCTGTAAAGAAGCAGCATGGCGACGATGCCTTCTTTGGCAGCGGTGTTACTGGGGTCTGCGGTGCCGAGACCGCCCATTGTCATTAAGGAGGCCGTTTCAAGAAAGCCGCTCACGTGGAAGAGCATTCTGCGGTTGGAATTTTGGTGTTAGTGGATGCTGAAACAAAGATACCAGGAAACTATAATATGCACTCACCTCCGTCCAACCACATCACTGAGGGCCGTCGAAATAATTAACGCCCCAATATCAGTCGCGTTAGTACCAAGCGTGACACTAAACGCATTGACCGATTTCAACTGCTTCACGAAAAGCGTCCCATACTGACTCGCAAACGCCTGCCCCGAAGCCTGCTGAAAGAAGTTCGCAGCGGCAACAACGAACGTACGTTCACGATTCCCCTTAATGAAGAGATCCTTGAAGCTTTTCTTTTGCAGCTGGGCTGTGACCTTCTGCGCCATCTCTTCAAAGTCCTCTTGTATCTCATGTTCGGGTGTGTTTTTCGATCTGTATCGTTTCAGCGCTTGAAGTGCCTCTTCCTGTCGGTCGCGGAGGAGCAGCCATCGTGGAGACTCGGGTATTATCCAGACGAGCCATATGCAAATGAATGGGATGACGAGAATCAAGCCGAAGGGGATTTGCCATGCGGCATTTGTTGAAATCCCTGATGTGCCTCGTGCGATGCCGGTTACTACTAGACCTCCGATTTTAATGCTGAGCCAGTATAGGACGCCCATGGCGCCGCGGACGTTTCGGGGAGCAAGTTCGGCGAGGGTGGTTGGGATTACGGCTAGTTGCATTCCTAGATAGATGTCTGTACACGTTAGATGATGGTTTGTATTCTAGGAGATGTAGGGAAATACTGACAGTGTAATGCGCGACCGGTCAATATCTGTGCGTCAGTTTTGGAGCTCACCACCACTGCTGCACTGCCTAGTGCGTAGAGGTTCATGCTGAATATGCACCATTTCCGACCATAAGTATTGCTAATATAGCCTCCTAGGAAGACACCTATCGCAAACAAATCAGCCAAATACTCCATAATCTTGGAAAGTATGATCCTCACCGACAATCTGCGTTCCCGCCTTCAAACTATTGTAAAGCGAAGTGAACAACGGCTTCACTTTGTATGTCCCGGTACTGGGATGATAAACCCCAAACTGACGGGCAAAAGAATCCATAGCCTGACACGAAGAGAACGCCTGATCGCTGAACCCATAATTAAACGCCGAAACTGCCAGCAGCACGGTCGTGAAAATGAGCATTCGGCTCCATTGTTTCTGAGATGCCATTTGGAGGCAATCTATCGTTGAGATGTTATCCCGACCAGAAACATCTATCAATCAATTAATCAATCAGATAATCAAATGCCGAGATAATCAGATATGGTGTAATCAGATCATCAGATAATGGTGGCGAACGGATGGCTTGGCTTTATACGTCGCAAGGTTTGCCAACGTGGGCGGGATGGCGGAGGGTTTTTCTCCCCCGACCCTCCCCGACCGGTGAGATAATAAACAGACTAGTCCAGTTATTCTTGCAGCCTGCATCGGCTATCATCGCTCGATTTAGTATCGGTGGCATGGTTTCGTGTTTGGGGGTTTATCCATCATCTCGGGCTTACGAGGCTGTGAGGGATCGGCCTTTCTCAGATCCCACGCTGATCATGATGGTAAGTGTCCAATCATCATGACAATTATGTCTCATTGCTTCCAGGTGACACACAAGCATGGCGACCGCTATGCATAGTACTCTCTGATCTTCTTAATGCTTTCCTCATGCTGCTTTCCCCCTTAACCGCGCTTTCCTACGGCCTAGCCCGATCAATCTCTTATCTTTCTCCGAGTCTTCCGGTACTGGTACCGTACTGCGTCCTGCAGGCTTGCCTTCTCAGGCAACATTGTCTCATCCTCCCACTGCACATATATCATCTATACTTCGCCTGTATCAATTGAACGAGAATACCAGTCTATGAACAGCTTATATATTCAAAACAAAGACATCGAACCACTTTCTCCATACTGCCAAGCTTGCCAAGCTCGTGTATAGGGCTGTAGGGCTGTAGGGCTGGAGCCAAGTCCAAGACCCTTTGTTCCCATCAGCGACGGGTGGTTATTAATACGGTTTCCCGAATTCAATCTCCCATCTGATTACCGGATGTTGGTTCCATTCCTGCCCGGAGAGGGAATTTCCGGAGTCAGCGCACTTTACTGAAAATTTGAAAAATGAGGGGTAATGCATAATCTCGGATTTACATGGTTCTTTTTTTAGCTGCGTCTTTTGTTGGTGGACAACGCCACACATATTGGCTTCCATTTGATCTCGTGTGCTGGTAAACCATGTTTCACAAGTTTTACAACTAGCTCATTGAATTAGTTTAGTGATCAAGTCGGAGATTTATGAGCAAATAACTTCATTGTAAAATCGAGGATATTCAACACCCCGGGTCCACTGCGGTGGTAAGGTATTCGCTCTCCCGGGCTGGTCACGTTGGGGGCCTCGCTTATACCTGCCCCCATACGATATGCTCAAGCTTTCAAGTAACACATGGCAGACGGCCCCCATTATGCGTGGGGTTTCTCCCCCTGCACTTGCGAAGAAGGATCTGACGGACTCCACATCGCCGCCCATCCTCATAGCCAGCTTGGCACTGCTTAGATGGAGTAGCCTGAGGCATCTTTAGGCGGCTGTCATGATTGATTGATCGTGGGGAGAGAGCTCTCATGAACCAATGCATTGCAGGTGAATAGTACCAAATCTCACACCGGACCAGGAAGCGAGGACGACAATATTGATTGACACGTCTTGACGATCCAGTGTTACCCATTGTTCTGCACAAAAAGTCCGAACGGAGCGTTGCGAAAGCCCGGGCGATGGTATGTTACTCAAAACCTGGGGATTCTTGACTATGTACAGCCTAGTGAGGATAAACTTGAGCCTAATCCCAGTAAATCCGGGGTAAATACTACGGAGAAGTCCGCATGGTCCAGTAATTGGTGTTCAGGATCTGGGTTTGATTAGCAACATTGTAGTAGCACGTATGTCATTGTATACGCAGGACCTGCACCCCAATTCCGCTGCAGTGTAGGGTATGTTGGTTTATGGTTACTTGTGTCGCACCAGAATCATTTTCAGTGTTCCATTTTACTACTATCATGAACCACATCTCCGTGGAACCCACACAGGCATGACAGGTTATATATTCCCTATGAGAGCCATATCACCACAACAGCCTCCTATGTCCTTATCCCAATTGCCTTGAGACACTACATCCACAATGCGCTTCTCAATTCTCACTCTCGCCCTCCTCTCTACATTCCTAACTCTCCCCTCCATAACTCTCGCCCACCCAGCCCTCAGCACAGAACATCTCCAGCCCCGCGGCCAAAGCACCATCACCTTCCTCAGCTCCATTTTCAACAATGGGATGAGAATCTTCAGGCTAGACAAAACTGTGCGCTACTTTACACCTGAACGTCTAGACGACGTCAAGAGTCGTTCCTCAGAAGCAATCCAAAGCCTTGATGAAGCCATAGCGACTGCAAAATCTATCGGTCACTTCGATCCTGCAAGTAGTCATGCTATTTCTGCGCTGTGTATACCCCTGAAGGTGGTTTATGGAAACATGATTAAGGCTATTCGCGAGAAGGTATCGTGACCATTTACTTGACACTCTTGTTGGGAAAAAGATGTATATTTTTCAATGCTGATGTTCATCATCATCAACAGCGCGAGGAGCTAACCGCAGCGAAATACAAAGATGAGATGATAAAGACGTTAGTATCTCTTCGGGTTAAGAGTCGGGAGTTTGCCGAACTGGTGAAGAAGATAATCACTGAGCCTGATGGGTCCTATTGTCTGTACCTAGAAGATTTTGTTGATAAGCGGTATGCGAAGACGATTGATGAATACAAGGGAATCAATAGCGGTGATTCGGGTGATGTGGAGGGGGATATCTGGGACGTGGAAGACTGAAAGACGTGAGAATGGTATGTGGGAATTGCCCATGGGATGGGTAGGTCATCTGGGAGGCTAATTAGCAGCTGAATACGACATGGGATCCCACCAGCTTGATACATAAGAAGTTGTTAGCGAGAAGCAGGTACTTTTGGACTACATGGAAAAAAGATGTCACAGTTTCAGGCTACCTGACTCATGTATGCGTGCATAACTGGTATAGCTTGGACTGTGCAGCCGATTTCGGTCCTGATCATCGGCCATTGAACTTGGCCCGAAAATCCTAACCCACTGTGTATGTTCGTGATACTTTTCACATGATTTCCAAGAACTCACTTCAAACTTTAACAATTCTCAAAAATAGTCCTATACAATTAACCATCTCGTTCTCGCCCAAACTATGATGCGCAGATCCCAGCCACAAAAGTATGACGTAGCCACAGCAACACAGGCCAAACTCCGCTCACCGCCCAGTCACCGCCTTTTAATATACGGGAAAATTGCTGCCTACGTAGCGAAGTCTCGGCCGGCGCATAGACCAACCTGGCAGCTAAAATTTCACACAAAAAGTCAAACAGTCATAATAATTGTTGCCGTGGGATATCTACATATACACAAACAAAAAAAAAGGAAATATTAATCAATAGTCGCGAATCATGAATGGCCCCGTCGATACGCCGAGAGCGCCCGTAATGGAGTATAGCCCGGGTTGCGAATTTCACCGAGCCGACCAACAACACATCAGGAGACAGATGTCGGTGTCAATTGAGGTGTTTATTTGTTGGCCAGGATGTAGCTATGACACACGTCAGCTTTTGTTGTTTTCGGTTGGATGTAAGGCGGGAAGGAAAGGGCAGCAACACATACTAGGCGTGGATGACACCTGGTACCCAACCCAGGATACACAGACAGATGTTGATGAGGAGATCACAGCTGCATCCGGTGCGCATGAAGACACCCACGAAGGGGAGGAAGAAGGCGATGATGATTTCGCAGCAGCCGCTGTTGTGAGATTTGATTAGTATCATTCTCATAGACAAGTGTGTAACAAGGGAGTGCATACACTTTTCCGGGCATGATGGCGGTTTGTGTAGTGTGTTGGTAGAGGTTTTTGGGGAGATGGAAATTGAGCTTGTCTCGAGGATAGGAGAGTGACCAAAATTTCAGAGTCTGGACGATGAAGAACAAACAAATGGTGGACGATCAGGGGATTTAAAAAGATCATAAGGAACGAGGAGTTGTGACGTCACGCTTGATGCTGCGTAGGGCTGAAAGTGGAGCTGACTCGCACGCCGTAAGAATGAATGCCCATCAGGATATGTCGATGACCATGTTTTGATGTAGCCTGATATTCTTGCGCAACCCTTGTCGATCCTGCGTCATGGTACCTTTATCTATTCGCTGTCATTCTGTGTGGGCGTTTCATGGTATGTTGTGGCCTGACTGGAAATCAACGACATGGCTACTGCGACGGGCGCGTATCTTGTCGCTTTGCTCTAGGGGTACTAGTACTTCGGCTCAATAGAGTTAATCAAATACGAGTACGAGTGCAAATAGTGCATGACTACATATTATATGATTGGTTCGCTTGATTGACCCGCTATAGCTTATGCTCTTGTACCGCTTACATAGATAAGCACATAAAGTGCATAGAATAATGCATAGCTTATACGCTGTATTTTCAGGCCATACTACCTTCCTGGCTTCGAGAGATGGTGTTAAAAAATATTTATAATACCAGCATATATCTCGTTTGAACTTGGCTAAACGGCATCGTAAACACAGGGTGACAATCGAGTGCAATCCAAAGGTGGGTCTTACTACTCCTCCCTACATCGAATATATATTTTGTTGGGCTAGTGTGTTGTTCCAGTTCCTAACTCCAGCTAGGTGGATATTAGCAACTCCAATGGAGCATAGCGTACCAATGACTTATGCGTGACTGTAGCGCACTACAGATAAAGAAGCGACAAGGTCAGGGGTTCAGGTAGTAGATCATCAAGATTAAGCTCCTTTGTCGTTGCCAAGGCCAACCCACCCGGTCGGGTTCAACCCCTATCGCACGGGTTCAACTTTCTACGCATCGCCAAGGAGCTCTCCAGGTTTGCGCCCTGCTCTCAAAGAGTATTTAGCCGCACCTATTATAGCTTGACAACATTTCATTCAGTCCAAGAGGTTCTACCGCTGTCTTCAGGAGCTGCAATAGGGCAGACAGCATAGAAAAGTAAATATTATATGAGCTAGCATCTAGTACTCTAACTTATCTAGTCATAATACAGACACAGATTTGGGAGGTATAAAATACAAGCACTTATTTCACACGACTTTCTTGGCCGCTTCTATATATCATAATAATAGTTAAACATGAACAGAGAATAGACAGTCAAAGGAAATGCTAATTAATCAGATAAAGAAGGGAAAAAGTTCAAGCGAACAGGGATACCTCCTATGACCAACGGCCAACTCATCCCATAAATTTGCTGCAGCACATAGCCTCAAGATCATCGCTATTCAGCACCCAAAACAGCCCGCTTTTGGTCCAGGCCCTTGACAGAATAGCCTCGTAAAACAAATGAGGAATAAACAAAAGAAAGGAAAAGAAAGAAAAAAAAAAAGAAAAGAGAAGGAAAAAAGAAGTATGATCAACGCCTTATACCCGGAAGTTCGACACTACTGCTCCACCTCGTAAACAAGCTTGAAACCGCTGACCTCCTTTCTGCGAATCATCTCCAATCCTTCTAGAATGCCGGGAAACCCGCCCGACATGACCTTAGCAGGGTGGTTCTTGAGATTGCCCTCGAGCAGGTGCTTCTGGGCGCCGGCGTAGAGCTCGTCAGCAAAGACACGCGCATCGGGGTCAGCGTCCCGCCCGTAGGGGGCCATCCAGGTACTGCCGCGACCCTTGACAGTGGAACCCAGGATCCAGTCGGGCTTGACAACCCTACGAGTGGCCTGCACCTCGGGGTAGGGGTCCAGCGCCGTGTAGCGACCGCCCGCGCGGCCAATGGCCTCGTAGCACAGCTTCATGGACGAAGTGACGGTGATGCAGTCAATAGCGTAGGCCAGAGCGTTCTTGGTGTAAGACTTGATGTCCTTGGCGCAGTCGGCAGACCGGTAGTCAAAAGTCTTCTCGGCGCCGTAGGAGAGAACCAGCTCCTCGTGCGACGGCGAGCAGGTCGCGATGGGCCGGAAGCCGGCCAGCTTGAGCAGCTGCAGGGCCATGGTGCCTGTCGAGGTGCTACCACCGTTCACGAGCACGTAGGGCGGATTGGCGGCCGTGTTGGGCGCGGTCAATGACCCGGGCAGCTTCATGGAGCGAAACAGGGCAATGCCTGCGGACGACAGAGACGTGCCTATGCAAGCGGCATCGGTGAAGGACATGTCATCCGGAAGACGCAGAGCCTGGGTGGCCACGGTCGAGGCGTACTGGCAGAAGCCGCCACCGCTGGGCCTCTTACGATCCATGCTGTCTGCGGTGCCCAGTACCCGGTCTCCCACCTTGAGATCTTCCCTGGTAACACCGGTGCCAATGGCCACGACGACACCGGCAAAATCGAAGCCGAGAATGGCGTCTGGCACAGCGAAGCCCTTGGCCATCTTGGAATCGACGGGGTTGAGGGCCAGCGCGGCCGTCTTGACTAGCACGGAATCCGGCTCCAGGTCGATCACGGGCACATCGTGCGAGATGCGAAGGGTGCCCTCCTCATCAGCAGCGATGATGGCGGTCTGCGTCTTGGGGATGGGAGCGTGCATTGTGAAGGATGGTGAGGCAGGTGGGGTTCTTGGTGATGGTGGTGGTGACGTTGCTGCTGTTCGCTTTTGTTGTTCTTGTTGTTGATACACCCGGGAGAGAAATATGAGGATGATCGGAAATGACAAGAATACGGGAAGAAAGAGAGAAAAGAAGTATAGGAATGGCTTGTAGTCGTCGTAAACCCGCGACAGTATTAAACTCGTACCTAATGTCTTCATAACAACAATATGGACATATTTTTTTTTCTCACGCGGTGGTTGTCGACATCAAGATCTATATACACGGGCGCGATCTCGCACAAGTCTGCCTCGAGGGTGGCTGAGATGGGGATGAGAGAGCACCATCTTCTCTCTTCTGGGGATTGGTTTGCGAGGTTACCATCACCGTCTCGTTCGACTGTCGCATTCGGGGCACTTTGCTCTGGGCAAACAAGTCCACATTCCCATTACGGCAAGGAAAGAGATGGCGGCTCGTATTGGCAAGGGGAAGGATGAAGCGGTTGTCTCAAAGAAGAAACCAGATGTTAGGGCGGGAAAATCACCCATATCGGGTATCCGGGGAGGCAAGCTTTAAAGAGCGGCGAAGGGGTGTTGGGTGATGGATTGACCGCTAGCGTGAAGGCTTAATTTCCGCAATCTACTTTTATAATCAGCGCTTGCGACCACCTCCATCCCGTAGGATTTGGCCCCAAAAAATCCCGTAGGATTTGGCCTCACCAATCCCGTAAATTCCTTACGTCCGTATGTATGTGTATCCTCACTATCTCCAAGAATGCTGGTGCTCTTGTGGCGTTTCTTTCAACACTTGGCGTGGTGTGCCGAGCATTTGCCAGCCAGTGAACGATTTCGCGGCGTGGCAGAGGCACGGTTCGGATCTACCCTTGATGCTTAATCGTACATACAGCGCCAGCCGGAATTTCTCGCCAAGGCTACATTATATCTCATCCTCCAGGACCTTGCTGCTACAGGACGATGCTACGACATAAGGCTCCCCAACTTGAAACTTGAGAATACATCCAGTGTATCTGAAACTCCAACGGCAGCCGTCGCTCGCCCATCTGCCGCTGTAGTAGTGTCTTCGTAAGACTGGCAGGTGTCTGATTGTGAGGGATCATAATTGGCCCCCAATCACACCTTCTATCGTGCGACTAGAACTTCCGATATTAATTGATGTTTTATAGGGTTTTGTCCACCGCTGCCGCCAAGCAAAACAAGCGACAATCCTCCTGGTCGTTTATCTATGAAGGTCGTATTCTGCAGAAACCCTATTCGCTGGCTCTTCCTCGTGTTCACTATCTGACCCCACTTTCGCCGGTACCATGGGGCCAAAAAGTCAGGACCAAGGCGAGATGTCTCAGCTAAGGCGAGAAGGGCTGAGTCAAGACGACGAATTCGCGTGGGCCCGTTGCCCTGCGTCCTGCCAGGTGATGGTGCGACTGAAGAAG